TTCCCAAGTGCACTCCATTTTTCCTTTGTAGCACTTTTCCAGTTGGTAATTGCATATTTCTTAGGTGACCGCACGAAATTAGATCATTTATTCGCTTTCTGCTTGTATCTGGATCCACCACTAGAGGGCAGGCATGCTGTCTGTGATCTTGTTCCCCTCTGTATTGTTTTGTGCCTAGTATATAAGAACAGCTGGTAGAAATTAATAAGTAATTATTGAACGTTAATAGGTTTTATAAATGTATTCATGTCTTGAATATGCAATTACCCGATAGACGAGTTACAGTAGTAGTTATGGAAATAATTGTTTAAACATTGTGTCAGTGAGCCTTCTATAATACTTCAACTCCGGGGCGTTGGCTTGACTTGTTTTTACCATGTATACAAGAATTAGAAAGAAAGGCCTGAGTTAACTCCCATTGGCTTGTAGGTAATAGAGAAAATTCTATTATTCAAAAGGGAGCTTTTTCTCCTTTAAAACATTTCTAATGAAAACATTTTTAAAGCTTGAAAATCTAACCTTTAGTACAAATAAAAATGTCTCCTTTTTATAACTTCATATATAATAGCTCTGACATAAAACTACGGGAGTGATTCAATGTTGCTTGCTTTGGACACAGTACAGATAATGTTCCCCAAGACAGAACTTAAATTTATTCTTAAAATTTCCCAATGAAGACGATTGAACCACCCATGTATTACCCCCACCCCCATCTTAATATGTGATGCCTTCTACATGCTTGATTCTGTCGGTGCCCTCCTCATGTGTTCTTGCTGTATTGCAGAGCAGACTCTCGCCAGCACACATATTTTTTTGTCTGAGGACTTGCCCTGGCTGTACTGTCTCTTTGTCATCTACATTGCAGACTGGCAATGCCAGAGAATGAGTGTCTCTCCGCGCACAGTTCTCTAACAAGGATTGATGGCGGTTGGTGTAGGAACACCTTCGCTCCCTCATGCCTTGATGGGATAGCTCTGAAACAATGTGCCTTACGTTGGCTTCCAGAGTTCTCCCAGCAGAATTAAGCTGTAGTAACCAACACTGTCAACTTGCTTGAAGATGAGTGCTTTATTGGCTGCCTTCCTTTCTCTCTCTTACTTTCCAACTGCCACCCCCCAACTGATGTTCTTTTGGAATCACCTCCAAAATAAATTACTTGGACTCCACTCCTTGTCTCTGGGTCTTCTTCTAGGGGAACCCAAAGTAAGATAAAATTTCCTGGTTGAAGTAGAAAATGAATGGCAGTTATTGCTTTTCTTCCCAATATCCCCAATTTTCATGAATGTAATGCAGTGAGTTCAATGAGTGAGCCGGACTCCACCAGGTGCAAACAGAAAGCAGTGTTTGTGTTTTTTGGTTTCTCTCCCCCTCACTGCAATCCTGTTAACCCTATTATGTCAAACCTTACGCGGTTCTCATAATCTTTCCGTTTGCTTTCAAGTCTAACGGTCTCATCTTCAAGCAGTCAAGTCTGAGATCTTTGCAGCCAGAAAGAAGCTGATCAGGTTCAGAAATCTGCCCTCGAGAAAGACGCAACGTGTCTTTCTTTACTCACATCTTCCTCCTCCTCCTCCTCCTCCTCTGCTCACTCTGCTGCCTCTGGCTGCTCAGGGCTGGAGCCGAGAAGGAAGAGAGGGCAGAATGGAGTGTTCAGCTGGAACGTAGTAAGCTGGGGTGATGGGGCTAATGCTGCAGTGTTGGCTCTTTCTCTTCTCCGAGGAACGGTGGGTCAGAAGTCTCCGCACCCTTGCTGCAGACCTTCTCAGCACTCTAATGTGGTCCCCAGCCTGCCCTCACAACTCTTGCTCTGTCCACCACTGCCCTCTCCTGCATCGGACACTACACTCCTGCCTCTTTCAGCCAGGATCATCTTTCTCAGGTAGGAAGCCCTTTTGGGTGGGACGATTTTCAAAATAATTCAAGGCTAGATAACTTCTGGAGTTCCATGAGGCCTCTGGAAATACTCATGCACCCCTAGCCTGTGGTCAGAAAAAAAAGGAATTTGCTCCCGCCAAGCCCTCTTTGTTCTTCTGTCTCTAAGGCCAGCTATAAACAGCCCAGCATCTTGGCGTCAGACTTCTCTAAGCCAGGTCAAATTCTGAGGTTCAGGGGCTGGCCCTGTGTCCTAATGGTTAGGGTTCTGCCTACTCCGCTTCAGCAGCCGGGGTTTGCATGTTTGGATCCCAGGCTTGAACATACTTTACTGTCAGCCATGCTATGGAGGCATCCCACATACAAAATAGAGGAAGATTGGCACTGATGTTAACTCAGGGCAAATCTTCCTCACCAAAAAAAAAAAAAAAAAATCTCTGAGGTTCCCTCCCTCCCTTGCTCCAGGTTAATTTTTCTCCTGTGGTAAGCTTGACATGCTTTGTAGGGGATTTCTTAAGCCTCACCATTTGGCTTGAGGTGTGGAGAGGAAAGGAGAAATGTACACCTGTTCCCACAGAAACCCACTCTCATGAGCTCTCTTGTTGATGTTCGTACTTTCCCTCATATTGACCTGAGGCAGCTCATAGACAAATGTTTCTCCATCTGTCTTTTTTAGGTTACCCTTTAACAAGTTCTGCACAGCTGGTCTGGTACCTCACATTTAAATTAGTGGGTATTTAACACCCATTTTTCTAAATCTTTGTGACCCCCCTGAAATCTAAGATGGCAGAAAAAGTTCCATTTTAACATCCTGCTACAACTATAATTCAAAATCTAAGTGAAGGAACTTAAATTTTTAGGTTTACAATATTCCAAAATTTGTGCTACATCTTACCCATACATTGTCTTGTTAGAATTGTCTTATTTAATATATTATCTGATAATTTTCATCAGTAACACCCAAGTTAGGAATTCAGTTTACACGTATCTTCCATCAAATGATTTTCTAGGCATTGAGACCAACCTATAAGGACATATCGGGAAAAAGTGTTTAAGAAAACAGCTGGCCATTTGCAGACATTTTCAAGAAATGATAAAAATGTCTCCTATAAAATATATTGGGAATCCTAAAATGACAAAGAAGAAATATTGCATATTTTATTCTGTAAACAATTATAAATTCAACATCAAATATGGTTTTAAGCCTTCTACTGCTTTTCCATGTTTTCCATTTTTTTCAAGAATGAGCCTATATGAAATGTGTATATAATTTATTTTTAGAAATAAAATTAGCTAAATCAGAATGCAGCAGCTGTGTTTTAAGAAACCTTCAAAAGGTTGACATTCTTAGACCAGCTTTGCATTAGGCAGATTAGTAACATCTGTTAATTGGTCTGCCAGTTTTTTAATAATTACTCCAATGACTGGGTAGAAGCAGTAGGCTATCTTACTGCTAGTTCCCTTCATAGTTTCTCAAACCAGTAAGAGGTCTGTAAAGATGTTCACATTTTATTTAAGGCTAAAATATTGATCTGAGATGTTGTTGCAGAGATGCTGAATCCAGTGGCATCGTTGCTCATGTGAAGATATTAAGAATAATGACTTTTATAGAAACTCATAAACCAGGGATACAGGCATTGTTTTCTCTCGTCTCAAGTTGGGAAGCAGAGCCTCTCTTAAATTAGAAGACTATTTAGGACATTCATCTCACTGGAAGTCAAATGATTATTTGCCCATGGAGGATATTGCTTTATGGCAAACAGGAATGGGCTTCCAAGATTTACAGAATTTGAGATGGCCCTTGGTAGTGTAATTTTTTCCCATTTTCTTTCAAATGAAGAATTCCTTAAGATATATAAAATATCAATTAATTTTAACTAGCTATTTGCAGTAATATAGTATGGCATTTTTCTGTAGCAGAGGCTAAAATTGTTCTCTTGGTTGTAGAAATTAAATGGTCCTTTAAAAAAATACTGTTTAAAGGATGTTGTTGTCCTATTCCATAAAAATAATTAAAATGTACTAGCTAGAAAGTAAAATCATACACATTTGTCCTGTCAGTGACTCTTCTGTGTTTACAGATAGAAAGTTGCCTTTTCTCAATGCCAGACAGTAAACTGAACCTGAATTCTAAGATTCAGGCTGTGTTCTTCTCATTCACATCATCAGGAGCAGCAAGGTTCTACAGTTAGAACTCAGCTGACAATTTGAGTGATGAATGAGGCACGAAGACTTCTGATTGCTCCTAAACAATTGCATCATTGGCTTTGCAGAGTCTCAGCAGCATTATGGTTTTTTTCAGCAAATAACTTACAAAAATAGAGGCAGCAGCCTAGATCACTATTGTTTCACATTTAAAGTGTGTGCGAACATTCTCAAGGCAATACACAATGAGCAAGAAAAGAAAAAAATCAGTAAGAGTGGGAGGCTGTGGGGGAGGTGGCTCTGGGGCTAGTAGCCTGGGTCTGAGCAGCTTAGCAAGGAGAGAGGAAGAGAACAGAGAGCCGCATCGTGTTGTGTTAGCAACTCCTGCGCCGTCATCTCAAAAACATTAACTGAATAAAGAACCTGCCGTAAGGCTTACATTACTTTTTAAGAGTTCTGTGATTTTAATTTAGGTCTTATTTGGGTGTATCAGGCATCAGCGATAGGCTTTGAGGTGGGCAGCAATGGGCAGGGTGCATCTAAAGTACCAACAGAATTACGGTTTTGTTTCTAGCAGAGAGCTTAGAGAAATACCAAAAACAACCCACATCATTCGGTCTCACAATCAATTAACACTTTATTGACATTTTAAAAAGCGATAGTCAAAGAATTTTTCTTGCCTACTTGGTTTCTTCCTACCTGGAGTACACGTTTTCAGAGTTAACTCTCATCACACGTTCAGATAAAAGACAAGACACTGGATTTTGTGCTATTTTCTGTGAGACTGTCTATTCATTTTCTGTTTGGTGTCATAACGGATGACCATAAACAGAGCTTAAACAACAACAACAACAGATTTATTCTCTTACGGTCCTGGAGGTCAGGAATCTGACACAGGTCTCACCAGGCTGAGATTGGGTGTCGGCAGGGCTGGGGTTTTTTCCGGAAACTCTAAGGGATAATTGCTTCCTCGCTTTTCCCAGCTTGCAGAGGTTGCCCTCATTTCTTGGCTTGTGGCCCCTTCCTGCATCTTCAAAGCCAACAGTGGTGGGCCAAGTCCTCACGTCTCTTCTCTCGGAACCACATTTCTGCCCTCTTCTTCCTCTTTTAAGGACTCATGTGATCAAATTGGGCCCAGCTGGGCAATCCAGGCTACTCCACCCATCTCACAGTTGGCTGACTGGAAACGTAAACTGCACTTGTAGCCTTAATTTCCTTTTGTCACATGAGGTTCTGGGGACTAGGGTGTGAACATCTTTGATGAGGCTTATTATTCTGCCTACCAATTCCGGTACTGCCTACCAGTTAGGTTTAGTCGTGAGTAATAGAGATTCAAAATAATAGTGATTTAACTAAAATAAAATGTATCTTTCTTTTATATAAATGTCTTAATGGAATGCCTAGCATCCTTATATTGTAGATATTAGAACTAATAACTTCAATGAATCACATGGACTACAGATATTACTAAAAGATGAGTTTGCTTCCATTTTAATACCATCACAAATTTCTAAAATAGGTTAATTCTATGTATATATTAAGTAATTATAACAAGTCATTTTTATTAAGTTAGTAGAAAAGAAAATTGTGTCCTCAAGGGGCAGAAGGGCAAAAGCAGAGATCTCTTTCCGACCATTTGTACTAACGTCACACAGCAGCGAGCTGCACTGACTTCAGTGACACCAACCACAAAAATGTGGGGGGATTGGGAAAGATTTTTAAAATAATGGGACTTCTTGGCTACATGGACATAGCAATGTATTTTTAAAAGGTTTATGAGAAACTGAAGCTCCAAAAACACCTTAATGGACAGAAATAATAAACGAATTCTTAAAAGGTGAAATTTAATAGGGACAACTTGAGATTTAAAAAATACAAAGACACAGAATAAAGATATAGTCTTTTAGGGACATATCTATTTAATTTTCTATAGCTGGTAGTAGCGACAGGATGTGTTAACAGTGTAATAGCCAGATGCTAATTACATCCCAAGATGAATAAATAGCGTTATACAGAGAACACTGTTCTTTAAAGATGGCGGGGGTTATGGCATCCTGGCTATTAAGACCCCACCTGAATGTAAAGTACAGTTCTGGACACAGTAGCAAGAAGAGCGTGTTTGAGCTGGAGCATGTCCCGAAGAGAAGAAAGTGGAGAGTGGACAGCCCGACGCTGAGCCAGTCCAGACTCCAGAGCTGCGTGTCCTGTGGAGAAAAACATACAGGAAATGAGAGCGCGGTCTTAAAACACCTAACGTGTGCCAGCTTAAAAGACATTGCTCCCGGTCTGTGTAGTCTCGAGGGACAGTACTCAGACCATAGGAGGTTTTGTTCGATATAAAGTCAATATCTTTCTAATAACCCGAGCTTTTTGGAAGTAGAATAGACTGCATCAGTGGGAAGTGAATGATACAATGCAAAGTAAGAATTGATTGTCTAGAAACATTTCTGGAGAAGACGTGGGTCCAGCCTTCCTGACTAACCCTCCTATATTACTCCTGAGCGAAGCTGGAATGGCGCTCTCGTATACGGCATCTTCGTTCTCTGATTGTTGGTCTTCTACTTCTCAGACTTCTGTGATGCTAGGTTCTTCTAGCCAGTATATTAGGATTTGAATTCTGCACATTGTATTTTAGCCAAAAAATGCTGGAATATATTCTGACTGTTATTTCTGGTAGTGTATATAATAAAGAAGATATCTTATTGGTACCCAGATTTCCAAGATACCATTGAACTCAAGATCTCCAGTGAAATTGTGTTAACACGACAGCAACAATCATTCTCACAGCTCTCCACAGGATTTCCTTCTTTCTATGAAATGAGAGTAACTAAGATTGCCAATTTGGATAACCCATAAAATTCCTAAAATTATAACAGGAGAGAGGACCCCTGAAAATGAGGAATGCATTTTGTAAGAGGTAGGAGGGAGGCTTGAATCTATTTTGTTTGAATAGCTCCAGCTATAAAAAATTAGCTTATATAAGATCAATGTTCTCACAAGAAGAACAAAGAAAGCTAAATAACACACACACACACACAACAAGAACAGTAACAACAATAACAAATAACAAAAAAGCTGTTTGAAGGCACTGGAAATAAACAAAGCAGCCAGGCCTAGGGGACCAAGACCCCAGGAAGAGGGGAAATACATTATGGTGTCTGACACTTTTCCCATCCAGGCATTTTCAACCAAGCAGGAAACTGCAGCTCTGTTTCCCACAGTCTCAGACGGCTGGGCAGATAAAAACTGGAGTTTAGGGTGACCAAGGCAGTCATCACAGTAGAAGGGAAGATCCAAAAAAATGCAATCTGTAGAAAAGTGAGCCTGATATTTTGGGCGATATGTTCCCTTGAGGCATTCTGCCAATTCCTAAACTGTGCACAAGATGCTGAAAATTTAAGCAGAAATTGACATATGAGAAGCTAAAAATTAATCAGGGGCTTCAGGAGGCCCACACAGTCGAGGAAACAAAAATGGAGTTCATGGCCTTCCAAAGAAAACGGGCTGTGGGAATCAAACCTAAACTTTCAGTTGAGACTCTGAAGGACCACACCCAAGGAGTGAGAGCAAACCAGCACGAGAAGGTTTAAACAAAGACCTGAAACACAGTTTTCAGTCATCTCAATTGCTGAATGGATTAACGTTATTTCCCACTAGTTTAACTACTTGCCAAAAGAAACATGGATCCCCTCTACGGAAAATTCACATTATTCAAAGACTAAATAGTTTTTTATGCACAATGTCTGGAATTAATTTTAAAACTCACATGATATGCCAAGAGATAAGACCAAGTAGCTGAAAATCAAGGTGGAAAGAAACAGAAAATAGAAATAGATACACAGGCTGTTCAGATGCTGGGGAATTAGACACTGTGCTAATCTGATATTAATGTATTCATGGCTACAATTGATAAGTGTACAGGGAAAATATGATTAGCATATTTTAAAAATATATGCAAAGGTGGAATCTTATACCTGAAAAATGGAATCCATAAAGAAGAATCACATGGAAATACTAGAACTGAAAAATATTGTGACTGAAATTAAGAAATCACTAGAACCTTTGACAGCATTCTAACTAGTAGATCAGTAGAAAACCTCTAGCCTGAATCAGGAAGAGTGAAAACAGCACAAACACAGAAATGAACATCAGAGCCAATTAAGACAAGACACAAATTTCTACCATATGTGTAACTGGTGTTCAGAAGATGGAAATAATATTTGAAAATATATTGATGAAGACTTTTCCAAACTGATAGAAAACATTAAACCACAGATTAAAGAAACTCTCTGATCTACTTAGAAGGATAAATAAAATTAAAATCACACCTAAGTATATCATTAAAAACTTATAAAAAAGTAAAAAATAGAAAGGCAGAGATAAAGCGAAGGATAATAAAGGAAAGAAAAGATGCATCACCCTCAAAGAAGCAATAATACTGACCCTGACTTTTAAAACAAAATGACTGTAGCCAGAAGAAAGTGAAATGACATCCTAAAAGAGCTAAAACAAAACAAAACAAAACAAAACAAAAACAAATAAACAATAAAACTAAATTAGCAAAAATATCCTTCATAATGAAGGTTAAATGAAGATATTTTCAAGCCAATAAAAACTGAGCTAATTCGTCATCTGCAGTTTAACATAGAAAACTTGTGGGATGTAGCTAAAGTAGTGTTTGGAGGAAAATTCATACCTTAAATACATATGTTAGACAATAAGAAATGTGATGGGGCTGGCCTGGTGGCATAGCAGTTAAGTTGGTGCACTCTGTTCTGATCCTGGGCACAGACCTACGCGCTGAGTATCAAGCTGTGCTGAGGCGGCATCCCACATAGAGCAACTAGAAGGATGTACAAGTATGACATGCCACTATCTACTGGGGCTTTGGGGAGGAAAAAAAAGGAAAAAGGGAGGAAGACTGGCAACAGATGTTAGCTCAGGGCCAATCTTCCTCCAAAAAAAAAGAAGAAAAGAAAAGTGAAAAATCAAACATTTAAGTATCCATTTCAAGAATTTTAAGTACAAAACAAATTAAACAAAAGAAATGCAAATGAAGACATAAAAAGAATAATGTAGGAAATTAACAAGATAGAAAACAAATGTAAAAATAGAGAAAATTAACAAATTCAAAAATTAATTCTTTGAAATAGCTAATTAAATTGATAAACTCTTATGCAGATTAATTTAAAAAGGGTGAAGGAAAAATTACCATTATTCAGAATGAAAATGGAGGCAGCACGAAAAATCTACAGACATTAAAATGATAATGAAAGAATATTATGAATAAACTTAAGGCTATTTAACTATTTAGATAAGATGTACAAATTCCTTTGAAAACACAACTTACCAAAAATTAGATCAAATGGATATAAGAATCTAAATAGTTTTCTACCTATAAATGTATTAAAGTATAATTAAAACCCTTCCCACAAAATAATCCAGACCCACAGAAATCCACTGGTGATTTCTACCAAATATTTAATAAAGAGATTACACCAATTTTAAATAAAATCTCTCAAAGAATAGAAAGAGGAAAAATTTACCATTTTGCTTTATAAGATCTGTACAACTTTGATACTAAAAGCTGAAAAGGGGCTTATGTAAATGGAAAAATACAGGACGGTTTTTCATGAACATACACACAAAAATAACAAGGAACTTATTAGCAAATTTAATCCAGAAATATATAACAAAGTCATGACCAAATTTGTCTTATTCCCAGAATGCAGGATTGGATACTATTTGAAAATTTTAAAATGCAATATACCTGTGGTAGACAGAACACTGGCCCCTAAAAATGTTTGTATCCTTATCCCCAGAACCTGGGAATATGTTACATTACCTGGCGAAGAGAATTAAAGTTGCAGATGGAATTATAATTGCTGATCAACTGACCTTAAAATAGGGAGATTATGCTGTATTTCCTGGGTCAGCCCAGTGTAATCACAAAGGTCCTTAAAAATAGAAGAATGTGGCAAAAGAGGCACGTCAGAGAAAGAGATGTGATTCCAGAGGCGAGATTGGGGAAATGCTGTGTTCTACTGCTGAAAATGGAGGAAGGCAGCCGTAAGGCAAGGAATGCGGGAGGCCTCTAGAAGCTGGAAAAGGTAAGGAAATGGATTCTTTCCTAGAGCCTCCCAAATGGAATGCAGGCTGCAGACACTGTGATTCCAGCCCAGGGGGACTGGTATGAGACTTCAAA